TGCTGCTGCTGCTGCTGCTGCTGCTGCTGCTGCTGCTGCTGCTGCTGCTGCTGCTGCTGCGGCCTCACCCCCGCCGCCGCTGCTGCTGCTGCTGCTGCTGCTGCGGCCTCACCCCCGCCGCCGCCGCCGCTGCTGCTGCTGCTGCTGCTGCTGCTGCTGCTGCTGCTGCAGGTGGCTGGACCGGTGCATAAGCGCGCACGGGCGCGCAGCAGACCAGGCCTTGTTTGGGATTTTGCAAGGAGGTTTGGATTTGGAGTTGCGCAAAAAAGCTCTTTTGCTTTTCAAAAAAAGAAAAGTCCACGGAGCTGCCATTGGCGGGCTTTCCGGCGGCGAGCGCAAGGAGGACTTCTGCAAGGTTCTCGCGCTGGTCCGAACCTGCTGCTGCTGCTGCTGCTGCTGCTGCTGCTGCTGCTGCTGCTGCTGCTGCTGGTTTGCTGCTGCTTGTTTGCTGGTTTGCTGCTGCTTGTTTGCTGGTTTGCTGCTGCTGCTGCTGCTGCTGGTAGTTTGCTGCTGCTTGTTTGCTGGTTTGCTGCTGCTGCTGTTGGCGTTGCGTTTTCGCCGGTTTGCTGCTGCTGCTGCTGCTGCGATCTCCTGCTGCTTCTGTTCCTGCTGCTGCTTCTCCCACCGACTTGCTGCTGCTGCTGCTGCTGCTGCTGCTAGCACTTCGCTCCCTCCCTGAACGCCGCGCAGCGCAGCCCAAACCTCATCCCACCCCCCTCCGCAGCAGCAGCAGCAGCAGCAGCAGCAGCAGCAGGAGTGTGTTGTGCTGCAGTGCACTTCTCCGGAAGAAGGCTTGTCTGCTGCTGCTCCCCGCTACTTGATGGGAGTGGGGCAGCCGCTGGACATTGTTGCTGCTGCTGCTGCTGGCTGCGACTTGTTTGACTGTGTCTTCCCGAGCCGCACGGGGCGGTTTGGTGCTGCAGTGGTCAGCAGCGGGCTGCTGCGGCTGCAGCAGCAGCAGTTTGCTGCTGACCCCAGGCCCCTGGACCCCTGCTGCTGCTGCTACGTCTGCTCCAGATACTCCAGGGCCTTCATCCACTTCGCATTCAACAAGGAAAGCAACCTCCTGCTGCTGCTGCTGCTGCTGCTGCTGCTGCTGCTGCACCTGCTGCTGCTGCTGCTGCTGCTGCTGCTCCATTGCTGCTGCTGCTGCTGCTGTAGTGCTGCTGCTGCGCTGCTGCTGCTGCTGCTGCTGCATGGCTTCTGCTGCTGCACTGCTTTTGCTGCTACAGGGCGGCTGCTGCTGCATTGCTGCTGCTGCTGCTGCTGCTGCTGCTGCTATGTGCGACGGCGGTGTGGGGTGCTGCGGTGTCTGTACACTCAGGGCCCCACAGCGGGCCAGCTGCTGACGCTGCACAACTTGTATTATCTCCATGACCTCTGCAGCAAAATGCGAAGCAGCATAAAAAAGAAAAGTTTCAAAAAGTTTGTTGAAGAGTTCTTGCTGCTGCGCTACCCCAGGCAGACGCCGCCAGACACCCCCCCAGCTGCTGCAGCAGCAGCAGCAGCAGCAGCAGAACCAGCAGCAGCAGCAGCAGCAGCAGCAGCAGCAGCAGCAGCAGCGCAGCAAGAGTTGGACAATGCTGGCAGCAGCCCCCGCTCCCCCAAGCGCCGCAAAGTGACCCTCCCTTGTACCCCTGTGGGGTGTACAGACACCTCAGGGGGGCCCCCCTGAGGTGTCTGTACAGCCGAAGCCGCCGCGGTGGTTCCGCGACGCGCTGCTGATGGCTGGGATAGACATCAGTCATTTATATTTGGAGTTTGGAGATGATGAAAGAGGAGTTTGAAGAGTTTTGATTGGATTGTTTTGCTTCTTGTTGGGTCTCTTTTTGCTTCTTGTTTGCTTCTCGTTTGCTGCTCTTTTGCCGCTTTTTTGCTTCTCTTTTGCTGCTGTTTCGATTCTTTTTTGATTCTTTTTTGATTCTTTTTTCATTCTTTTTTGATTCTTTTTTGATTCTTTTTTGTCTTCTTTTTTGATTCTTTTTTGTCTTCTTTTTGCTTCTTTTTGCTCCACTTTTGGAGCCTTTTGTGTCTCTATTTGCTGCCCGAGACAATTCCGTCTTTTTCTCTCCTTCGAACAGCAGCAGCAGCAGCAGCAGCTGCTGCTGCTGCTGCTGCTGCTGCTGCTTGTGCTGCTGCTGCGGCAGCGGCGGCGGCAGGCGCACTGGAGCAGCAGCTGCAGAGCAGCAGCAGCAGCAGCAGCCAGTGCGGAAACCGCACGGTGGTTGCTGCTGCTGCCGCTGCTCCTTATGCTGCTGCTGCTGCTGCTGCTGCTGCTGCTGTTGCTGCTGCTGCTGCTGTGAGGGACTGGATGGGCTGGGGTGTTCGCTCGCCCTCCAAACAGTCACTTTTGGAGATACTGCAGCAGCAGCAGCAGCAGCAGCAGCAGCAGCAGCAGCAGCAGTAGCGGGACTTGTTTGGTATGAGCTATATTTCGCGTTGCGGCTGGCTCTGCAGTAACTAGCAATTAAACACCTTGGCTTGTCAGTGCTTGTTTGCA